AGGACTGTAGAAAATGAGCCCTAACCATAGCTGATTCCAGGGTTAGGGCAAGGAAAATACAAGCCAAGACTAGATTTTGTGCTAGAAAGAGAAGAAATTCTCAAAGAACGAGAGGGACAAGTCAAAAGAAACTAACAGCCAGCTGCAGGGGCTCCCACTGGCCAAATCTGGAGCAATTTGAGCAACACAATGCACAGTGAGTGTAATAAACTATGATCTGTTGAGTAAAGCAAAAATTCATGAATCCAGAGTTGTAAATCAAAAAGTAAATAAATATGGTAGAAAGAAAAGTTCTTTTCAGTATTATTCCAACTAATAAATGTAGAAGGAAATGAGGACTTAGTCAATTACCATCTGTCAATTCTTATAATGATTCAGATAAGAATCAAACATCAATGGATTATAAAACTAGTGGGTGAGAGAATGAGGAACAGCAGTGTATTAACATAGTCTCAAATTCTTCCTCTAGGAGATACATATCAATCATGAAGGGAAAATAACTTTTCAAGGATGTGAATACCATCCTAATCAAGTAATGAAAGTTAACAAGCCAAGTGAAGGGGATGGATAAAGCTTGGCATGTGTCCTTCGATTAAAAAAAAAAAAAACTAGCAAAACTGCAGCATCAGCAGTATTACTACCATACATAACCTGAATCTAATCACCAGGAAACCACAAGAAATCCAAACTGAAAGACATTATCTAAAAACAAGGCAGTAGTCTTGAATGTCAGTGTCATGAAAACAAAGAAAGATTCAGGAACTGTTCCAGACTAAAGAAGACAAGAGATGGTACAACATAGTACCACAAAAGAGTTAGGGGTTTTCTTTTGCCATAAATGAGCTAAGAATTTTCTTTTGCTAAAAAGAACCTTATTGGAGCAACTGGCAAGATCTGAAAAGGACCTTACATTAAAAAATAGCATTTTCTTAACGTTAATTTTCCTGTCTTGTGATATAAGAGAGTATCTTTGTTTTTAGGAAACATACAACAAATATTTGGTGCTATAAGGGCACAGAGGCTGCAAACTGTCACTAAATATTGAAGAGAAGAATAAAAGAAATATAAGAAAATGTTAATATTATAAAAATCTAGATAAAGGGTATCTGTGAATTCCTTACACTATCCTTGACCTTTTTTTTTTTTTTTGGTCCCAGTCCTAGGGTTTGAACTCAGGCCCTGGGTACTGTCCCTGAGCTTTTGTGCTCAAGACTAGCTCTCTAAAACTTGAGTCACAGTTCCATTTCTGGATTTTTGGTGGTTAATTGGATATAAGAGTCTCACAGGCCTTCCCAGGCTGGCTTCAAACCATCATCCTCAGATCTCAGCCTCCTGAGTAGCTAATATTACAGGCAGTGCCCAGCTTATTCTTGCCAACTTTTTAATGATCTGAAATCAAAATACAAAAATAAAAATAAAAAGTAGGAGAGCTAAGTATGCATATGCTTAGAAATATAGGTAAATTCCTGAGGATGATAAAACTGTCCTTACAAACAGAGAGACAGGCAGGCAAAATACAACAAGCCTGGTTGATATGTTCGCCCCAAAGTAGGCTCTGCTCACGGAACTTCTGCTGCCACACAATCGGGGGTGGAGGGGAAAAGGAAGCTATAATTTTATTTTTTTTTATAAGTCATGGAGCTTGAATTCAGGGCCTGAGCACTGTCCTTGAGCTTTTTTGCTCAAGGCTAGCACTCTATCACTGAACCACAGCTCCACTTCAGCTTTTTAGGTGGTTAATTAGAGAGAAGAGTCTCATAAACTTTCCTGCTAGCTTTGAACCTCAATCCTCAAATATTAGCTGTCTGAGTAACTAGGATTATAGGCATGAGCCACTGGCACCCGGCTTCACTTTATTTTTGTGGAAATACCAGGCTCGAACTCAAGGCCTTGGGCTCTTACTCAGCTTTCTCATCCACAGCTGGCACTCAAGTCAGACCTTCATTCTGTATCCCTCACCAACACATGAATTAAGTTCTACAAAGAACCAGTGATATAATCAAGCCTTCTTCACTGCAGACTTGTGCTATTTTTTCAAAGCCTTCTGATACTATAAACAGTTGATGATGCTTTGGGAACTTTTCTGGAATATATGTTAACAAGGAGGAGTTCTTAATTAAGAAGCACAAATAGGATAAAACAGTCTTAGTTGGAAGTTCCTGCTCTAATCTGCTGGATTATTTATTTATTGCCAGTCCTGTGGCTTGAATTTAGGACCTAACACTGTTCCTGAGCTGTTTTTGCTCAAGGCTAGCACACTACCACATGAGCCACAGTTCCAGTTCCAGTTTTTTTTTAGTGGTTAATAGGAGATAAGAATCTCACAGACTCTCCTGCCTGGGTTGGCTTTGAACCACAGTCCTTATATCTCCACCTCCTGAGTAGCTAGGATTACAGGCTTGAATCACCAGCACAGGGCTTACTGAAATGATTGAGATGTTCTACCACTAGGTGGTGACAGGGTTAGGTGATCCCAGTGTTTTCCCAACCCATTTCTATGGTGAATTCCCAGGGATGCTGACTATAAATGCTCCAGATAGGCAGCCAGCTAAAGAGACTTGTTGGACCAGTAGTTCTCTATCATACATACCATCTCTCTGCTGCTGTTCTACCACTTAGCAAAAGCGCGCATATATATATATATATATATATATATATATGTATGTATGTATATATGTATATACATATATATATATACATTACTTCATTTCATCATTTCCTTAAGGTGACCTTTTTAAAAGTACTAATATTTATTTTAACAGTAATATTACAAAAGATCTAGTTTCCACAACAATAGAATAAGCTAAGGTCTGTCCTGAGTATAAGTCTGCATAGGAAAGGCTTAGCTAAGTAAATGAATAATTTGAGATGGAAGATGACAAATGAAAAACAAGTTGAAAAGATACCATAGCTGGGTAAGTACAGCTAATTCTATCAGAAAGCTCAGCACAAATGCAGGCCTCCTTTCTCTTTGAATTTATCCAGCATCCAGGTCTTTAATACCTGCCTTTGAGCCAGACCCTGCCAGTGACTTTAGCTTGTTGCTAGAGTGTTTGCAAGACACTACAGGGATCAAGGCCCAGAGCAGCTCTGTTCACATGCAATGCCACTACTGGAAAGTTATCATGGTCTCCAGTCACTGACATTCCAGTAGAACCACCACATTGACTCCCTACATGGATACCAGCTAAAGAGACCAAAGAATGCCCAAAACAAAGGCTCTAGCCTAAATCAAAAGATAAAATCTCTATTAAAGATTGTTTTCAATCATAGAAAAATTAGGCTTAGGGCTGGGAAGGTGGCTCAGAGGTAGAGCACTTGCCTTGCATGCATGAGGCCCTGGGTTCAATTCCTCAGCACCACATAAGCAAAAAAAAAAAAAAAAAAAGCCGGAAGTGGCGCTGTGGCTCAAGTGGCAGAGTGCTAGCCTTGAGCTGAAGACTAAGGGACAGCGCCCAGGCCCAGAATTCAGGCCCCACAACCAGACCCCCCCCAAAAAAAAAGAAAAAGGAAAAATTAGGTTTAATTCTAGGATAATCTACATCTTAGACTGTGTATCGATACTGAAGCCAGCTAGATTTCAAAACAAACTCAGCAAAGGAGGATCTGTTTCATCTTTTAAAAATGAGAACATTAGCTGGGCATCGGTAGCTCCCACGATAATCCTAGCTACTCAGGAGGCTGAGATCTGAGGATTGCAGTTTAAAGACAGCCCAGGCAGGAATGTCTGTGAGATTCTTATCTCCAACTAACAACCAGAAAAACTGGAAGTGGTGCTATGGCTAAGTGGTAGAGCACTAGCCTTGAGTGAAAGAGAAAGAGCTCAGGGACAGCACCCAGACCCTGAGTTCAAGCCCCACAACCAACAAAAACAAAAAACAAAAAAACAAGGGGTAGGGGCGCATTACCAGAGTTTGCATGTGATACAAGCCAGAATTCACACTCAGGTCAGGCTGCTCTGTCCCTTTACCTAGCCCCAGGAGTGTCCCCATATTCCACACAATCCACTGTAAACACAGAGGAACCAGCCAAAATTCCACTGGAACACACCAACATCCAGCGCCAATGCCCCCTTCCCCCTCTTTGGTTCCGATACCCTAATGGGCAGGTGACAAATCACATTCTACCTTTTAGCAATCTCTCAATACAAAACCCATTCAGAGGCAAAGCAAAAGACTAGATGATAGGTTTTATAACTGCCTACACTTTTTTGGTACCCAGAGGAATATTTGCATGACCTGTCAACTCTGGGCAGGAGGAACCCATCATTATGTAATGTCAGAGGGCAGGCTACAAGGGGGGTAGGGAAGTGGAGCCCATCAACACTGCTCTCCCTCTCCTACAAAGATTATAAATTTACGTCTGACATTTTGAGTGTTTCAGTCTTCTATGGCCTACACATTTCACGACTGGCTTTCAAAAGACAAACACAGATCCCAGCAAATCTCTCAGGCCTCAATTAACTGACTGGCAAAACCAAAGAGAAATAGAAACATAAAAAGCTAAAATTCAAGAAACGCTATATCGGGGCTTATGGACGGGAAGAAAAGGAAGGAGAGTTAGAAGATGGAAACCCAGTTCCTAAGCCAAGTCGCACGTTTATTTTTACATGATTCTGTTGACACTCAAAACAGAGCGAGGCCTTCAGGGTCTGGAGTCCCTGGATCCAACCCCGGAGACGCACCAGGCAGGCGCAGCGACCCAGGCAGGCGCAGCGACCCAGGCACCGGGCCCTGCGCCCAGCATCCTGCAACTCCCGCCAGCCCCGGGCGACCCGTCCTTCTGTGGGTACCGGTCGGCCCGGCTCCGACTGTTCTCCACAGACGCCACCGTCAGCGAACTGCTAGGCTGTGCATTTCCATGACAACCACAGGCGCCGTCCCGGTCCGGCCCAGCAGGGAACCGAGATGCGCTCCCCGCACCCAGGTCCGTCCTGGCTGCGGGCTTCCAGCCGCCGCCGCGCGGCTCAGGCCCGGCCCGGACCGACCCGGCCCACTTACCTGGCGCGCCCTGGCCCGTGGCACCCGTCGCCCGGCTGTCCTGCGTCGCTCCGGGCGATGCGCTCGGGCCTAGCCGCAACAGCGTCACTGCGTGGTGGGGAAGTCTGGAGGGAACTCAGGGGCTGGTCCTCCAGCCCCGGCCCGCGGCGCAGGCTCCGGCCGCGAACCCACTGCCCGTGCGCAGCCTGAACTCAGCCACCACCACAGCCGCCGTCGCTCTAGAAGCCGCGCGCGGCCCCGCCCAAGCCCCGCCCACTCTCCGCGCATGCGCACCCCGCGATCCTTGGTGGGCGCGCGGGCCCCGCCCCCGGCTGGATCCGCCTCCTCCGGCAGCAGAGGTGGGTGGCCCCTAAGCGGGCGCTGATTTCGGATCCCACGTTCTGTGACCGCGTCACCTGCAGGGAATTTTGAACTACTGAACTAAACGACAGCCTTGGTCCACCGGGAAAAAGCTTCCTTAGAGGAGCCGCCACCCTGAGACGCGCTCAGGCTGTTGGCCCTGTGGATGAGGATGCTTCCGAACGAAGATGTAATGAATCACACCCAGGCATGGTTAACAACGGGAAACAAACAAAAATTAAAACCTCAGGACTCGGGAAACAGATTGCAACAAGAAGAGATGGATAACATCCTGAGTGTCTGACCTCCTGGGCCTCTTTTGACATATATGCATGAATGTGTGTTTATAGATCCCAACACATAGAAAGTCCTTCCATTTCTCCCCCAAATTCTGTCTTTCGACCAGCAGACAAAAACAGAATAGTCAGAAGTGTGGGAAGAAATGAATCTTATTTTATTCTGCTTTATCTTTATTTATGTTTCTGAGACACACTCTAAAGACATCCCAAAGGAAGTCCCAAAGGCTAAAGAACATGAAAAAGTAACTCAATCCATTTAAAGAAAAAATAAAAGATAATTTTAAAGACAGTTTGTAATACTTTTCTTCTCTCTAAGTTAAAAGACAACTGAGCCAGGCAATGGTGGTTCACACGTATAATCCTAGCTACTCAGGAGGCTGAGTTCTGAGGATTGTGGTTCAAAGTCAGCCCTGGCAGGAAAACTTGTGAGACTCTTATTTCCAATTAATCACCAGAAAACTGGAAGTAGAGCTGTGGCTCAAAGTGGTAGAGCACTAGACTTGGAGTGCAAAAGCTCAGGGACAGTGCCCAGGCTCTGAGTTCAAGCCCCAGGAACAAAAACAAACAAAAAACCCACCTAAATAATTAAAGGGAATCAAAGTCACACAAAGAAATACTAGAAGGGAAATTAGATTTTTTATTTATTATTAATTTTTTGCAGGTCCTGAGGCTTGAACTCTGGGCCTGTGCTCTGTCCCTGAGCCTTTTTTGCTCAAGACTAGTGCTCTACAAGTTTAGTCACAGATACACTTCCAGCTTTTCCTGTGATTAATTGGAGATATGAGTCTCATAGACTTTCCTGCTCAGGCTGGCCTGGAACCATGATCCTCGAATCTCAGCCTCATGAGTAGTTAGGATTACAGGCGTGAGCTACCAGCAGCCTTGCTAGAAAAATACTTTGAGAAAAAGAAATGATACTGAACTGCCAGTACCTCCCCCATTTTCCAATGCCTTGCATTTAGCAAACAATGACACAGTTTTGTTGAGACTGCTGGTTCTCTAATCTGGCTATATGCTAGGATCATTTCAAGCGCTGCTCCAGACAGATTAAGTCAGCATCGCTGAAGGAAGGGGCTCAAACTTTACAATTTTATAAAGATTTACTGGATGCTTGTTTTTTTTTGGGGGGGGGTCCAGTCGTGGGGCCTGAACTCTGGGCCTGGGCACTGTCTCTTCAGCTTAAGGCTAGTACCCTACCACTTGAGCCACAGTGCCACTTCCGGCTTTTTTTCTTTTTGCTTATGTGGTGCTGAGGAATCGAACCGAGGGCCTCAGGCATACAAGGCAAGCGCTCTACCACTGAGCCACCTTCCCAGCCCCAGATGATTTTTTTTACATGAAGCAGGACTGTAAATCATTCATTTAGCTAATTGCTTCACCTTGTCCTTGTTGACTAGTCCCAAGATAAACCCAAATTCACTATTTGAACTGAATTCAATTTAGCAAGTATTTTTATATCCACTTCATGTTAACCTCTGCAGAAAAACCTTTGCTACTCAAACATGTCTTATAGACCAGCAACTTCAGCAGCACCAGAGAATGCCAGGCCCTACCACAGACATACTGAATCACTATTGGCATTTAACAAGGTCCTCATGTACCCTTATGGTCTGAGAAACACACACTCACCTAATTGTTACTTTACATTGAATTTCATTTCCTTTATTAGTCACTCTATTTCAGCTTGCTTTCTCTTCTCTGGCTAAAATGAAGCATTTAATTTGAAGTAGGTTGAGAATAGGCAGAGATAAAATGAGATGAGATAGCAGTATAGTGGATTTGCTGAGCAAAAGGAAGAGGTGAGGTCTGATTAGCTCTTGGAGAGATAGAAGCATTTCTTAGCACTCCAAGGAATAGAGTATGAGAGGCTGTTGGGATGGGCTATTCTGAAAGAAATATCTTTTGTTTCTGATACTGCCAATTCCCTGGGAATGACCCAGGTGTGCTGGAAGGATTCTGTGGTCTTATGTGTGTGTGTTGAAGCAGGTTTGTTTGTCAGGGTGCATGCTGGCATTGTGCCTTTCCATTAGGATTAACCTCATGCTATGGGATCCAGGAAGAGTGGGGCTTTTAGTTATTTCATTCTTGGGCAGTACAGAGATTTGAACTCAGGGCCTCATGTTTGGTAAGCAAATTCTCTACCACTCAAGCCTTTTATGCTTTAGTTGTTTCTCAGATAGAGTCTCACATTTTTGCTTGCGTCCACCCTGGACCACAATCCTCTTATCCCTGTCTCCTACCCCCAGTACCTGGGATTCTAGATGTGCACTATGCTGTATGTGAGTGTGAATGTGTATGTGTATGTGTATGTGTGTGTGTGTGCGTGTGTGTGTGTGTGTTTCTTTTAAAGAAAATCTCAGCCTCTCACTGGGATTACAGGCATATATCACCATTTTTAAGGACTGGCCCTTAGGAGACACAGATCAACCATGGATGTTGTTGTTTTTCTAATTAACTTCACAAAAGAAACCTCTTCTTGAAGTGCTTTAGTCTGTTGACTACAATCTGTAGAGGGAAATGTAGTCACACCTCAACCAAACACATGGAGATAAGTATGTAATAAGCACAACTGCCATGGAGCAATTCTAAGAATAGTGTCATCTGTTATTTTCTATTGTATTTCCTCAAATCTTGTCATTTGATTGATTTCATTCAAGAATAGATTGCAACCCACGAATTTCTTTTTAAGTTTCCCAGAGACATAGTAAATTTGCAAGGAAAGCATTTGGATGAATTTTGCTTGGACTCACAAAAGCTGATTCATAATTTAGTTGATTGTGTTAAATTGCATAATTTAGCATTGTGGCTAAATGTGCATTTCCAGGGTTGGGTGTGGTGGTACACATCTGTAATCCCAGCTCTTTGAGAGGCAGAAGGAGAATCTGGTCTAAGGCAAGGCCCAGGCTAAAAACAAGAGGTTCAGCTTGAAAAAATAATGAAAGCAAAATAGCTAGGAGTGTGCTTTCTTGTGACAGAGTGTCTGTCTAGCAAGAACAGGGCTCTGAGTTCAAATCCCTGTAAGCATGGTTTCCAGGATTCCTGCCCAATTTCAAAACTATCTGTTCCCAAGTTACTTCATGTTGCTAAGCCTCAGTTTCCCATCTGAAAATGATATCATTTAAAGATCCATGCTTCTCCTCATTGCATATCCTTGTCTGAGTTTACCTTGGCTGTCCCACAGGTAGCAGTAACTGAGAAGCCTCTGGATACTAGACACTAAGTACAATGATGGACAGAGTGCATTATGGGAGCTTGAGAACAGGATAGGACCTCAGAATCACTGAGGCTCAGGAGGCAGGTTTGGAAGACATGTACAAACATAATCCTTACTTGCTGACACAGGAAGCAAAGTACTTTTTGACACAGTAAAAGGAAAATCTTTAAAAGATCTTTACAACTAGTATTTTTAAAACTGCATGTGTTTAATGTATAAAATTTGATGAGTTTGCAAATATGCATACATGTGTATTATCATTGCCATACCTAAGGTAATAAACTCTCCTCCAAAATTCCCTGATGTTGAATTAAAATTAAAACTTTTCAATTTTTCAAATTTAAAATTGAATTTGTTAACTACCTAAGAGTTAACTAAAGAGGTGTAGGACCTCTACGATGAAAACTTAAAAAACCTGAAAAGGAAATTAAAGCAGAACTTAGGAAGTGGAAAAACCTCCCATGCTCCTGGATTGGGAGGATTAACATCGTGAAAATAGCAATACTTCCAAAGGCTATCTACAAATTCAATACGATACCTATCAATATTCCAACCTCATTCTTCGATGAAATAGAAGAAGCAACTCAAAAATTCATATGGAACAATAAAAGACCCCAAATAGCAAAAACGATCCTCAACAGAAAGAACAGTGCTGGAGGAATATCAATACCAAATTTCAAACTCTATTACAAAGACATAGTAATCAAAACTGGCACAAGAACAGACCTGAGGACCAGTGGAATAGAACTGAACCAGAAATGAACCGACAGACCTATAGCCAACTAATCTTCGATAAGGGAACTAAAAAAATAGAATGGAAGAAAGACAGTCTCATCAGTAAATGGTGCTGGCAAAATTGGTTAAACACCTGTAGAAAACTAAAGCTAGATCCCTATATATCACCCTGCACCAGAATCAACTCCAAATGGAACAAAGACCTCGAAGTAAAAGCAGACCCTTGAAAACATTACAGGATGGAATAGGAGAAACTCTAGGGTTTTTTGGCGCAGGCCAACATTTTCTCTTTTTTTTTCTTTCCTTTTTTCTTTTTCAAAATTTTCTTAATAGAGACCCAGAAACACAACAAATCAAAGAAACGTTGGACAAATGGGAGTGTGTGAAAACTGCAGAGCTTCTGCATGGCAAAGGACATAGCTAGTAAGATCAATAGAAAGTCCATGGATTGGGAGAAGATCTTCATTAGCCATACAAC